TGTCTAAACCAGATGAGGATAAAAATCTAAAGGATGAAGAATTTTTAGGATTAATTAATCAATTAACAATTCAAAAGTTCTACATCCCAATCAAACTCAATGTAGGTAACTTTGACCTTGAAATTGAAGCTCTGTTTGACACAGGGGCAGATTCAAACTGCATTCAAGAAGGTCTAATTCCTACTAAATATTTTGAAAAGACTTCTGAACGGCTTAGCACTGCTAGTGGTTCAAAACTTCAAGTTAATTACAAACTTCCTAAAGCAATCATTGAAAATGATAATTTAAAAGTTGAAACACTGTTTCTCCTTGTTAAAAATCTCAAAAATGGAGTTATTCTTGGAACTTCGTTCATCAAATCTCTCTTTCCTCTAACTATTATAGATGAAGGTATAATTACTTATCATTTGGACAAACTGATAACTCTCCAAAAGAGTTATTTTTGGGCTTAATTGTGATGTTTTGGTGCTAAGATTACATATAATTCTCTTGATTTTATATGATTAATGCATGAATTTTATGATTTCATGATTTAATTGAGAATTATGTTAATTATGTGTATTTGGATATAAATTGAGGTATTGGAAACATTTAAATGCATTTGTTATTTTACTGCAGGTCAATGCTGTAGCATCAGAAAGCGGTGTTGTAGCAGTGCATATGAGGTCAGCAATGCATCATCACCAGCAAGCTATGGATCCAAGCCCAATTAGCTAGAAGAAGTTTCTGAACGTGTAATCAGAGTCTTGAGCTGGCTACGCGCTTTAAAACATTCAAAGGATCACCATTAAAGCTTCATTAAATCAGCGATTACATTTCCAAATTCAGACCTGAAACACGAAATGGAAAGAATCTGATGAGATATGCTGCAGCATTATGCGCTGTCCCTGATCAGCGCTGCAGCAAATAAGGAAAGAATCTCCAATCAGCGTTGTAGCAAAACACAACTGTATCTTCAATCATAGCTGCAGCAAATAAGGAAAGAATCTTCAATCAAGTGCTACAACAAAACACAGCTGTATCTTCAATCATAGCTGCAGCAAATAAGGAAAGAATGCTTTGTCAGCATTACAGCAAAACAGAGTGTCATCCTTATCCCCTCAGACGACAGATTTGAATGAAGATTTACATGGACCTGAAGAGCTGTTTGAGGCCCAGAATATCAAGTATATAAAGGAACGAACCCTACACACAGAAGGGAGGCTAGGAACGCTACACATGCTTTAGACATTCAATCAGATCCTAGAGAGAGAAAGTGGGGGAAACACATAGAGAGAATTTGAGGGTTCGTTGAGAGAGATCTAAGGAATCAAACGGTGAGGCTAGGGTTTAGTAGAGAGATCATCAAATCCGGTGGGTCCCTGCACTATTCCAGCGGCTGAAGCAAGATTGATAGTGGTGGAGCCTACGGTAGCTGCGGGAGCAGTGCTACAGCAACGTCCCTGTTTTCTTTACTTTAGTTTAATGGAATCTTATTCTTTCTTTGTTGTTTCTTCCCACCCAAGTATGGGCTAAATTGTTATGATTGGGTGATAGAGGACCCTTATTGTAATGTAATTAGTTTGCCTAAACTTTGCTATATGATTGTCCTTTTAGTTGTTTAATAAAGTGCTTACTTTGTCTTTATTCTTGTTGACTTATCGAGAGAGAGCTGCAAGATACTTAGGGTTTGGGCTATAGAGATATAGGTGAACTCAAAAAGGTATTAAGCATTGTGGTTTAACTAATTTAATTAGTTAATTGTGGGCAGAGAGATCATTCACACCACAAAATCAAATGGAACTTGCACTTAATGATTCATAACTATGTTGGCCATAGAGATGTAGGACTTAGTATACATGTAGAGTTGGTGAGAGCCCTTGCATGCATTAGTGTTCTGGTTACTGAATGGATAATTGTTGTAGCATGGTTACTGCATTCTAGTGAAGTTGCAATAATGGGGAAATTGATCTCAATCTATCTTTAATACTTGGAAAACCTATTTTATTATTGCATTATTTTAGTTAATTATTAGTTTTATTGTTTAATTAGTCATTAACCTCTTCCAAATTATCTTTGTTACCTTGATTGCTTCACATTGATCCCAACTTTATAGTTTTTGTTCGTGAGAATGATATCTGGACTCACACATCCACTTTATTACTTGTTGACACGTGCACTTGCGTAATGTGTGATTGATAAAGGGGGTATACAATTGCACAACAAGTTTTTGGCGTCGTTGCTGGGAAAAACTTATAAAGTTAGTTTCTTTGTGAAGTGATACTTGATCCCTTTTCTTTCTATTTTCAGGTTTTGCAGGTAGTACATGAACAGTCTCCCTCTCTAAACAGAAGTATACTTTGATCCAACAATTAAAAGAACACTTCAAGTTAGGAAGAGGAAGTAGTGACAGAGCATTGCTACAGCATTACCTGACATGTCAGAAAGAATAACAGGATTTGGTGTTGATGGACGAGGTCTAAACCAAGACGAAATCTCAATCAGGGCACATGGAATGTTATCACTTAACAATCTTCATTCTGCCATTGTGCAGCCTGATGTTGCAGCAAACAATTTTGAGTTTAGACCAATGATGTTTGACATGTTGCAAACTATTGGCCAGTTCAATGGGTTGCCAAGTGAAGACCCACATCTACACTTGAAAAACTTCATGGACGTGGCAGACAGCTTTAAGATGCAAGGAGTTACATCTGATGCGCTGAGACTGAAGTTGTTTCCTTATTCTCTCTCCAATGGAGCTAAGACATGGCTTAACACTCTACCACCTAATTCAATCAGAAGATGGGAGGACCTTGCTGAAAAGTTTTTGATCAAATTCTTTCCTCCCACCAAGGCAGCTCAATTGAGGAATGATATAGCAATGTTCTAGCAATTTGATGGAGAATCACTATATGAAAGCTGGGACAGATTCAAGGAATTGCTATGGAGATGCCCCAATCATGGCATACCTGAATGGATCCAGATGGAAACTTTCTACTATAGGTTGAGTGAAAAAACTAGAGATATAGTAGATGCATCATCTGGAGGAGCTCTCTTGGACAAGACTTACACTGAAGCATATGATATCCTAGAGAGGATGGCATACAACAATTACCACCGGCCAGCAGAGAGGTCAATTGCACTGAATGAAGCTGCAGGATTGCTGGAGCTCGATGTTATATCTTCATTAAAGGATTGTTATATGAAGCATACTGTTCACTAAACCTGCACTGTTGAAAAAGTACTGGTCATGTAACTTGTACTGTAGCAATAGTGTTTTTTCGATCTATTTAAAGGATTGCTTCAGTATGTTGAAGACATCCTTTCATTTACCGAGTTTTAGGGAGATAGTCTAGAGAGAGAGACTGCGAGGTACTTCTGAGTTTTCTCTTCAATCTGTAACTGTAATCTTTAAGTTTCTTTATGTTTGAATAAAATCTGTTTCTATATCTGCTCATGTAAAATCAATTTTTCTTTTCTCATCCTCTCACGCTAGTGGAATTACCTCAGTGTTCACCTTAAATTTATTTTATGTCTTTAATTTTTGCATTTTAATTCCTGTCATTTAATTCATGTAGTAGTCCGTCTACTTTCCTGCTTTCCATTTCTGCTCTAATTTACTTCATTTTCCCTCCTTCACTTCCGGAACCCACTGGTATCAGATCTTGATGGGGAAGTAGGAATATATGGATAGATCTAAATTATCTGTTATTTATCTGAGCTTATAGATCTATTCATATATTCCTACTTCCCCATCAGGCTCAGATATATATATATATATATATATATATATATATATATATATATATATATATATATACATATATATATGTTAGACATCACAACTCAATTTAAAACCTTTAAGGCATTGAGTGTATGAGTCCTTTTATATGTATGATATTCACTAAATCCATTCTTAACCATATATATATTAGACACTAAAATCAACCCAAAATCTTAAAATATTAGGTGTATAAATCATTCCATATATATAGTGTTCGCTCAATATATTCTTAACCAACGTGGAAATTTACTCGTGTGTGTGTCTATATATATATATATATATATATATATGAACGACAACCCCCCCCCCCCGAAAAAGCATCCCCACTTTTGGTGTCAAGTTTTAAGAAGATTGTCAAAATAGTATTTGAGTTTGAATTGACTATAAAATATCTTAAGAATAGTACTTGATATTGTGGCCATGTTCATGATTGCATTAATGTTTAATAGCTTTATGTGTTCTACTAGCACTGATTTTGGTTGGTATTGGAAGTTGAAGTTATAGGTTTGAGAAAGAAGGATTTAGAGATGCTTGAAGTATTACACTAAAAGATATTAGATTTGAAATGTTCAACAATATTATCTCCAGCCTAAGGAAAACTCTAGAAATAATGTAAGCTATTGGACTCCGGTCCATATCCAAACGATCATCTTTCATCTATTAGACTTGTATATGTGCATATAATTGTACTATATTATTAATATATCCAACATTAGCATCAAGGGAAATTCAAAAGGACAAACATAGTTTACTTATTTTGCACTATTTAGAGTGTATTGAGAAGTAAAAAAGAGAATAGTAGATAAATTTGCTCGATTCTGTGAAAGGGATAACCCACTTTGAGAGCTGAGATACCAACTAAAATGATCATGATTTCTTAAGGGATAGTGCTTGGATAGAAAAGCAAGGTCCATAGTATCCGGAACCACCCCTATATAGTGGGTGGGAACAGACATTACACTTGTAGTAGTAGTAGTAGCAATGGATATCAAGTGTGTGGGGTGGCTGACGTTTTTTTTTGTATAGTTTGTAGCTCAATGGGCCATGCCACAACTGATTAGTCAACTTGATGAGGCTAATATAAAAAAACCCTGTAAGAATGGCTGACTGCCTTATAAATACTGGCCTAACCCGCTCATTTTCCTGTCACAAAATCTCAAAGCAACTCTTTGAGAAGAGAGGTTGAAGTCCAAGTAGTTTGTGTCTTTTAGGGAAGATAATAGGCAAAGTGGGAATGATGGATGTGGACAAAAGGGTGTCTTCATGTGAGGTTATCATGGAGGACACATATGTTGATTGGAGAGGCAGACCCTGCAAACGTGACAAGCATGGTGGAATGAGTGCTGCTGTTTTTGTCCTTGGTCTCTCTTTGTCACACTTATTTTCCCAGTTTGTGTTGGATATATTTATTTTCTTGAAATCAATTTTCTTTCTTTCAACTCCTGTCATTTTAGTTACGTAGTTTGCTCAATTACAAATAGCCAAATGCAGCTTTCTGGTTTTGGTTGGTACTGGTATCTTCTCTTTAAAATGATTATAATTATAAATAGACCTTCTGGTTTGGAATTACATGTCTATTTGAATGTGAAAGTGAATCCGCAGATGTAAACTTTCATGCTTTCATATCTTTTTTTCTATCTTTGCCATAGCTCATAAGGTTTGGAGGAAAATGATGAGACAAAACAACTATAATAATAATAATACCGATGATGATAGACAATTGTTTGGTTGTTGATTGGTGACACAGGTCTCCAAGCATTTGAGATGATGGCAATTGCTGCTGTTGGGAATAATCTCATAACATATGTGTTCAATGATATGCACTTTCCACTGTCTAAATCTGCAAACATAGTGACAAACTTTATAGGGACAATCTTTCTTCTCTCTCTCCTTGGTGGGTTCTTATCAGATTCTTATCTTGGGAGCTTCTTGACCATGTTGATATTTGGCTTTGTGGAGCTCTGTGTATGTCCGTTCTTTAACATGTCCCTTTTCTTATACTTTAAAATTTGTTCATTGATTACCTGCAACTAGCATATTCTTGATTCTTGCCTGCTTCCTAATATCTTTATCAGTTTTAAATTAAATAATGTATGCCAATCTTTGATTTAACATAATCTACTATGAGTTTAAAAAGATGTATGCAATTCTTATGAAGGTTTCTATTCTACAACCCACAGTTATGCATCTCCTATGAGAAAATTGAAGATTCCTATAGAAAACACAAATATATGTAATCAAAGAAAACAAAGAATAGGGTAGAATTATCACAACCAACCATTTCACCTAAAAGCTTAAGCTTATAAGTGATGAGGCTTTTATGGTTTTATATTATATCTCTCTAACAAACTTTTTTAAACAAGAGTCCTTTGGGCCGGCAATGAGGATCGTATCTGTGATCCAGTAATAATCTTGGCTCTAATACCATGATAAACAAACATTTCAACCTAACAGCTTAAGCTGTTAAGTGATGAATCTTTGATATTTTTATATTATATATCTATGAGATTTTGGATTTTGTGACAGGGTTTTATACTACTCTCAGTTCAAGCACATCTTCCACAGTTAAGACCACCTACTTGCAGAATGTTAGATGGCAACCCTTGTGTGGCAGCAAATGGCTACAAGGCATTCATATTCTTTCTTGCTCTATACTTGGTGGCTTTGGGAAGTGGATGTCTAAAACCCAACATAATTTCCCTAGGAGCTGATCAGTTCTGGAAGGATGAACCTTCACAAAATAGGAAGCTTTCTACTTTTTTCAACATTGCCTATTTTGCCTTCTGCATGGGTGAGCTTGGTGCACTAACACTTCTCGTTTGGGTCCAAACTAACTCCGGAATGGATGTCGGGTTTGGAGTTTCAGCGGCAGCCATGGCAGTAGGTTTGATAAGCTTGATATCAGGAGCATTTAGATATAGGAACAAGCCACCCAGGGGAAGTATTTTCATCCCTGTTGCTCAGGTAACTATATCATTTAGATTTGCCTTGTTCAGAATTCACAACCTTGGATGCTTTGAAACCTTTCTTCTTTTGTCACAAAATTTCACAAACAAATATCTTTAGCAATATAACTATCTTATCTGTTTGTATTTAATGAAATTTTGGTTCAATGGGTAAGGGGAAATAAGAAAATTTTTAGGGTGGGAAATAGGAAAGAGTACAAAGTACAAACTTTTGTCAATTATTTAAATACAAGTTATCATTATCAATACTTAAATATTACCTCTCTATGCATAAATGAAGTTCAATCCTAGGAACTTATTTTCTCTCTGTGCATAAATACTTAAATATCTTTAAACCTTCACTCGTAATTTAAAGACATGTTAAATGATACATAAATAATCTTATTTTTGGTTTTGTACTCGTCAGGTTTTTGTAGCTGCAATAACTAAGAGAAAGCAAATATGCCCTTCAAATACAGAGAAGCTTCATGGAAGCCAAAACAGTAGGCCAAACCATGTTTCAGCAACATCAACTAAGATCAACAGCTTCCTCCATTCAAAAAGGTTCAGGTGCGTGGGATATCAAATTCATTGTGAGGGGGTTAAGACACAGTCTTTTTTGCCCTGTTATAACCAAAGGCGAGGAAAATATAATGTTTACAAATTTAAAAAGTATTTCTTACAGAAATTCTCTTGTTACCATTGATTGCACAATATTTAATATCAAAGATTTTTTTTTTTCTTAAATATATATATATATTGTAGATTCCTTGACAAGGCATGCATCAAAATCCAAGAAGGAACTCAGGCCAAGGAAAGTCCATGGAGATTATCCACAATGGCACAAGTGGAGCAAGTCAAGATAATTATATCAGTTATTCCAATTTTTGGCTGCACCATCATTTTCAATACCATTTTAGCTCAGCTCCAAACATTTTCAGTACAACAAGGAAGTTCCATGGATACCCACATCACAAAAGAGTTGAAAATACCACCAGCTTCACTGCAGTCCATCCCTTACATCTTGCTTATCTTTTTTGTCCCTATATATGAAACAGCTTTTGTACCAATTGCGCGAAGATTCACTGGTAAGGATTCTGGGATCTCCCCTTTGCAGAGGATTGGCATTGGACTCTTCATTGCTACCTTTTCAATGGTTTCAGCAGCCTTGGTAGAGAATAAAAGGAGAAACTTGGCTTTACATTCAAATGAGAAGTTGTCAATCTTTTGGATTGCTCCTCAGTTTCTAATCTTTGGCCTCTCAGAAATGTTTACTGCTGTTGGGCTCATAGAGTTCTTTTACAAACAATCATTGGAAGGGATGCAAGCTTTTTTAACTGCTATGACTTATTGTTCATATTCATTTGGATTCTACTTGAGCTCACTCATGGTTTCTCTCGTGAACAAAATTACCTCAAGTTCTGGTAGCGGCTGGCTCGTTGACAATGACCTTAACAAGGATAGGTTGGACCTTTTCTATTGGCTTCTTGCATCCCTCAGCTTCTTCAATTTCCTTAATTATCTTTTCTGGACAAGATGGTATTCTTCCAACCTTTCAGTTGAAGAGTTATAGAGTTACAAAGCTTCGAATTTTCTTTCGTTGAAATGTGTCGTACACCTACTAGTTAGTCGCTCAATTTTTCTTAAGCTCGACGTAATTGGATATTGTATTATAGAAGAAAGAGAAACACATTAGGTGAATTTCCATGATATACTTAAAATAACTAGCTGAAGCTAATATAATGGCCTACAAGTTAGAGGATATCTCTTTTCTTCTTATGTGTCTACTCATGACCATCTATCATTTAGAGGAGACTTTCCGTTTTTTATTTTAATTTATGGGAAAAAGGAACAACTTAGTGGTGGTAGGTAGGGTATGCGTTATGCTCTGTCTTCATAGCAGATCTATATTTTATTGCGATGTAGATTGATTGTCTTGGAAAATAGCGCTGTAGGTATGTAACAAGCAAGCTGTTACGGTTGAAACGAAGACGTTTGGTTGAAGAAAAAAAAAAAAAAAAAACTGACAATCTCAATTTTTAAAAATATTTTTTATATTTAATTTACGATAATATCCGTAAATTTAAAATTTAAAAAAAATTCAGTTTCTCGAAATTCTTGAAATACCAAACGCCTCCTGAATACATGTGAATCAAATTGTTTCGTAGACATTTATTAATAGGAAGTCAAGAAAATACGATCCTGATTATGTTTTGGTTTAATTTTTAAATAACTATTTTTTAGAATAATTAATAGAAATTTGAGCTATTGTGGAGTTAGTTTTGTGTACTTGAAGGAGTGAAGTATAGCGATTCATAAGCTAGATTAAGTCTAGTATGAGTTAGATGTAGACTTTATTCTAGAATTGGTTTATTAACATTACATATGATATTAGGCGCAGTTACAATTATATTAATTGAATTAAATTACAAATAAAAAAATTCTTTTCTTTTCTACTTGAACATTACTTATGTACTTACATAATTCAAATACTTAATTATAACTCTTTCTTTACGCGGAACATATCATATTGGCTTAATATCATCAACTTTATAGCCCCCCAAGCTAACATGGGGTGAAACTTACTTTTCAGATTCTATACGGGAATGTGTGGCCTTCTCGGTACATGATACGTTTCTCCTACAGGAGGCGTTCCCACTTCTAGTGGCGTTCTCACTCTGGGGTCGTTCCCACTCTGGGTTGAAACAATCTTGACAACATTAAGAATGATAGCACTTGGTTGCATTTGATCATGATGTGATACTTTCTCAAGCTTATTTTGACATTTGATTGACAACTCAACATATATTATATCACTCATACTTTATGCCTCCTTGGCTCACCTAGCATTCTCATTGCTTAGGCTCTAATTTCATAACTTACTTTTCAAGTAAGACATAAGCATTTACATTTATGCATCCTTTCACATTATGATATTCATCCTTGTGAACATCTCATTTGCATCACACACATCTCATCATAAAAGTCCAACTATATAATCATAGACTTTTGGACATATGTCTTTAAACTTCAACTTTACATAATACATGGTCATTGCTTTCTAAACAACTATACAACATAGAAATACATATACACACAAAACATGTGTGGCCGTCATCTAGGCTCTCAAATTACATCATGAATTGTACAAGATACATGATCATCTTCTAAGTTCTCTAATACATTATCATGTGGTCTCAAAATTTGATTATATATACATAGAAAGGTAATCAAATCTACATGCTATGCCATAAAATCTATATTGGCTCATTGCCACTTGTTGCTCCCTCTCCATTTGTGAAGGTACCTGAAATGATATCCTTAACACAGAGTGAGATATAAATCTTAGTAAACTAAAGGTCAATGGAGGATCACTCCACCCTATAGTTCACTTTATGTGCATAAATAGTAAAACAACACAGCATATAATGTTTATTATGTCATATATGTTCTGTCATATTTATTCTGATATGTTTTTCTATTATGTTCTATCATATGGAACTTCCAAGAGAACTTTGTTGCGTCTCTTAGGTATCTATACCCCAAGGATATCCTGAAAGTTGTCTCTAAGGGGGTGTTTTGTTCAAGTTTTTGGAGAGGATTACCGGTAATCCTTCTTTGGTAAATGTAATTACCACGTTTGGTAGAAGGAATAAATTACGATTCCCGGATATCCAAGGATTACCGGTAATTTGATTTATAAAGAAAAGTCACTATTCAGATTACCAAAAATAATATGGTAATTCGGAATACCAATCAGAATACCAAGTAAAGGAAAAGCACAACAATAAATTTTGAGACAAAAATACCCCAATACACATAAAAATCTAGACTCAATCTATCAATTACAAAAGTAAAAATAGTTTGGGGTTATTTTTGTAAAATAACCTCATATTCCAAGTCATATTTCGTTCTAAACCAAATATGGAATCAGTAATTTTTACCCAGTATTCCCGGTAATATTTTGGCGAACCAAACACATCTTTCGTAAGATTCCAAGTAAACTCAATTTCTACTGAATTCCCATTAATCATGATTCCCGGTCACCAAAAAATTTCTCCTGTACCAAACACACCCTAAGGGAAGTCCACATGTATTCATACATACATAATAATTTATCTGATGGAACTTTCAAGAGACTTTTGCTACATCTCTTAGGTTTCGACACCTGAAGGAGGTCCCTATGAGCTAGCTCCAAGGGAAATATCTTTCATACTTTATATATTTTAATCTCATACATCAACTCATCCTGATCATTTTATCATATATTTTTGTACATTATTATATCTCTTCTGATATACAAAGAACTTCCAAGAGACTAGTGCTAGGCCTCTTAGATATGTGATCTTATGGCGGTCATACTACCATACCCATGGAAAGTTTCTCTCTGGTATGGTCCTTTCATGAGCTCTTATGTTTCATAGACTTAACCCTCATGGAAGTTATAGTACCATACCCATGGAAAGACCATACATGTAAACTCATGGAGGTCATCTTACAATACCCACTCATGGAGGTCATTTTACCATGCCCATGGAAAACATTCTTACACATATATACTTAACTTTTCTCTTTTACTCATAACATACATACATTATCTCATATCCAAGGAACTCCCAAGGGACTTTTACTTCGTCCCCTAGGCTGCTACCTTCATGGATGTCATAATACCATACCAATGGAGAGTTCCTCTCTAATATGGTCCTTTCATAAGCTCATTTGTCTCATAGGATGTACCCTCATGGAGGTCATGATACCATACCCATAGAAATACCACACAAACCAACTCATGGAGGCCATACTATCATATCTATAGAAGGCATCAAACATATACATCTACTTGCCTGAGATATCTCAAACATACATATAATAACTAAAACATAACTCGTCATCAATCATCTCAAAATGCATCATTCATAATCATCATTTATATCTCATGATGCAATCTACTATGTCATGATACTACATGCACATTTATCACTCAACCATTACTCCCAAAGGAGCATGGTGGAACACATAAGGTAATTAACTGAAATATCTAGTAACATGGCACTTAAAAAGACTCGTGCGACCCGTGCGGGACCTGGCGCGAGTCGCGCGAGTTTACAATTTTTTTGCTGATGTTAATCTATTGCGAGGAAAGAACGAAAAAAAATGTGGTTTTGGACGAGAAAGACGTACGTGAACAAGAGCGCTGTGGCTGAGAAGTTCTTGTTTTTTCCGAATTATAATTCAATTTTATGTTAAATTGTAATCCTGGTATGTTAGCTATGCCTATGGCTAGCTGATTTCCCTTATTGTAGTTAGGGTCACAAGCCCTATGTGAACCCTTTTCACGATGGATTGATTAAATTGTTCTCTCAATTTTAATATATTTTATTTTTACCTGTGTGTATTGTTTATTATTTCTATTAGACTTGATCAACCTAATAGAAGATAATAATTTGAGAATTAGAGCTCAGAATAGGAATATTGAGGTTTTAATTCTGAAATGGGGTAAAATAACAATTCATGTATGTTCTAGGGATAGACATTTATGAATTGTGGATGTTTAATTTATTGGGATTAATGCTTAATTTCATATAGAATTGCTAAAGGATTAGGATTCTAGTGGAATTAAAAGGTTGAGCTGCTAAGGGATTGGGGTTCGACTAATTAATTATAAGATGATAAATTATTCAATTATGTTTTTATAAATGAGCATTTTTAATCAATCCAAAGTTTAAAGTGGGGATCATATGGTGCATGTACCTTAGCTGCAATGTTTACTCATTATTCTCCCAAAAATCCAAACTTTACCGTTGCTTATTAAATTAAGAATTACATTTTAATTTTCTGTCTTTATTTTACTATCAATTTACAATTTCCAAAAATAAACGGTTTTTCCAACTTAAGGGGACAGGTTATTGTAGTACTTGGTTTACAATCCTTGTGGAGACGATACTCTACTTACTTACTATATTGCTTGTGCGATCGGTACACTTGTCGGTGAGCATCAAGTTTTTCGCACCGTTGTCGGGGATTGTTAATTCCAATATTATAAATAATTGTTGATCTTTGAGATTGGATTTTTATTTATTTTTTATTTTAACTTGTTTTGTGTTTTACAGGTGCTACTAACCATTTTTTCTGAGTTTTATGCGAGGTAGACTTGCTCCTTCGTGATTGATCCTGAAATTGCAAGGACTGAGAGGAGACTGAGGAAAGTTGTTGTTGGGTGGTTTGCTGATGGTGGAAAATATAAGTTCTAATAGGGGACGTTCCTCTATTCTTGCAGAACACAGATTCGTTCCCTTAGTTCCAACCCAAGTGCGCAAGTGCACGCATCAAGTAATAAAGGGAGTATTAATGCCCAAACTATCGTTCCCACGAGGATAAAGTGCTAATTATTGTTTTATCGCTGTTTATAAAGAGTCAAAATGAGAAGAAAAGTTAGTAAATGAATTGTCGGGTCAAACGTTCCCTACTGTCTTGACAACGTTCCTCAGGAACAGTAGGTTAAATCTGATGGCAAACAGTTGCTCGTTGCGTTATGTATGTGATCCTTCCTATTTAGAAGAAGGTGAGATAACA